GATATGCTATTCCATACATAACCCTATACTGTATACTTTATGATTCAATAAAAAATTTACAATTTTTCATTATAAACCTGTGTTTTCTATCAAAATTACTTCTTGCGTGAATTTTGGGACACCTTTTAGTTTACAGGGGTCAAAGGGAGCTGTCCTGATGGAGTTGTCCATCCACTTTTTCTGGGTCCTGTGAGGCACCTCCAAGACCCAGAGTTTGAGAAACACCATTTGTTCAGTGCCAAGTCTCTCACCTCGGCAGGCACTGCTAATCCACTGCAGCGTTCACTCCCTGAACTCAACTCACTCTCAGAGCTTCTCAGACCATAAAGCCATTACCCACTGATTGAAGTTGTCACACGAGAGAAAGCCTATTTGCCACTTTATTAACCATGTCATAGATGCAAGCACAGTCTAATTTCTGACAGTCATATTGTAATGACTTGATGCCATAATAAATTAGAGACGTTGCCCAAAATGGAAGGTAAAATAAATATTTGTCTATTTTAAGCAATTTTTTTTTTTTCTATTTCTCCCTGGCTCCATTCCCGCCACGACCACCTCCACCTACTGCTGTGCAGGGAACTCCCGAAGGCAAGCTCCCTGTGAGCCTGGCTAGCTCGTCCACAGAACTCTGGAGTTTCTGAGCGCCTCTTCTCCCCTAAGCCATTCCGTGGTTCTGCGTGTCCTGCTAGGACGCCTCTCTCGCCCGTCCTCGGCCTTTCCCAGTTGCCTGCCATTGCTCTGGATTTCCTCGGACGTGCGAATGGATGTGTGATCCAGGCCAGGCTGGCGCTGTGGCCACAGTGAATGGCTCAGACGGTCAGAGAGGAAATGACCATTTTCAGATACTGGTGAGAAGAGTTCGCTCAGCCTTGCTGCAATTTCCAACACCCTGGCCCCACGGGAAACCCAGCCATTCAGAGAAATGGGCAGCCCTGCACCCCGGGCATCTTCATGAGATTCTCGAGCCACACTCCGTGGACCACACCCCACAGCCCTGCCATCCATCTTCAGAAGCAATCTGCTTGCCGGGAAACCAAGGGGAGCCCCGAAGAGGAAAAGGATCCCCTAAAGGCAACATGTTTTCCAGGAAATGTGCAAAGTGGAGCCAACTAGGTCATAAGGGGAGTTAGTTTTCTGATCTGACGACGCATATTGAAAGCCTTACACAATTTTAATACCCGTTGGAGAAAGGGCCTTCTCTCCTTCCACCTTACAGCTCCCCATAAGGCCCAGCCATCACTGACCCAGAGGGGCAGTTGGGGTGTCTGAACCCCTCACCTGAACCCCATCCTCACTGACACACAGATACAGCTTTATATCTCTTGTGAGATTCCTTATCCACTGTCTTCTTGATCTTATTTGAAATGACACAAATGTCTCTCTCCATCTAATTCACATACATCAGCCCTCTGCTGCCAGGCTTAGATTTTGGGGAAAACCAAACCAGAGAAAAATCAATATGATTTTTAAAAGAAATTCACAAACTAAGCCTGTCTTAAAAATTATAATAAAATTATTAAAAATGAATTTGGTTCATCAATCCATTTCCTTTTACATTTCCGTGCTCCCTGGGTCCTGGGAAGCAGCGACCAATCTTTCCAACACTTCCGCCTGGTAGTTGAGAGTCTTGGAGAGAGAAGTGTGGAGTTATTATTCCTTGTCTGTCAGGGTATTTAGTTATGGTGGCGGTTGTTTTATTTTTGTTTTTCTCTACTTTGCCAGTGTGTAAGATAAACTTTCTGGAGCCTGAGGATGGGCTCATAGGGCCAGGTTGCCTGTTTTCAATAATGAACCTGAACCTGAACCTGAACCTGAACCTGAACCGAGAGGCATAAGCGGGCGGCCCAGGTCTCACTGGCATGGGATTCCTAGAATTGCCTGAAAACTCAGGCAATCCAGCAACTGTGACCCAAGCCTCCTCAGGGCAGTGGTCTGTTGGCAGCCATGTGCTCTGTGATTCTCTGCTCTCTGTTCTGCCTGCTTGGTCCAATAGTGGTTACCTGCCCGGCTCCGGGAAGCATTTGAATCTGTCACAGCAAGAATTTGACACCCAAGGAATGCCAGGTGGAGCAAACCAACCGCTCCTGTTGCCCTGGACTTTCTCAAGCTTCTGCATGCACCAGGCTCGCCCAGGGAGAAGATGGGACCCTTACGGCTGTGTCTGTATTCACCACAAAGCCCTGCTGGCGAGGGCCTCCTTCATTCCTCACTCATTTCTCTAGTTGCTGAGTTTTAATATTTTCTCTAATATTTTCCCCTTCCAAGATACCCTTTAGAAAGATAAGATTTGACTTTATAAATGCATTGGAGAATAAATATTGAAGAAAATATTAAGGTCCTACTATTCCCAAGTTTTGTAAGGGTTGATTTGGAGGAGAATTAAAGCAAGAAAAAACATGCCCTGCCCTACTCAGTGTGTCCCACTGCGTGGGTTAAGATCCAGTTCTTATTCCTTCTTGGAGACCTGAGTCTCCAGCCACCCTGCCCACTGCTAGGTGGACTCCTGCCATCTGAAGCAGCAGACACCACGCTTAACCCTGCAGAGTGTATGGCTGGGGAAGATGGAGTGAGATATGCAGAAGGCACTAATTAGCACCTCCATTGGCTTAGAAAGCATTTTTTATTTTGGTTTTCCTAAGCATTTCTGACTGATTCATGGAAGACATTTGGTTCTTTGGAATATCGTCCAATAGACTAATCAAATTACATTTTCACAGGGCTCTAAAATAATAGCAATCTGCAGCTTTCTGCACACTTAACTCCTGCATGACCAAGAACCTTAGAAGAGGCAGCCAGCAGGGTTTGTCTCATTTGATGAATTATTAATCTGTATCCTTACAAAAAAAGAGTCTCTTCATTCTCCCTGACACTCATGCTCAAAACCTTAAAGCCGGTTGTAATGACTGGGCTCTTCTTCACCCACATACCTGTTTATTTTGCTGGTGGTGTTGACCCATCCTCTCTACTCCATTGCTGACACCCACCCCAAGTGGAGGTCACAATCGCCTCATCCCGAAGTGTGTACCTTCCTCCCATTGCCAGGATACACACTGGAATCTGTCGCTGCCCTTCTCAGAAACCATTCACAGCTCACTGCAATTGAGAAGGCCAATGTGTACCAGGCCTGCTGCGATACCCTGGCGCGGCACCTATGGCATCTGGCACTTGTGACTCAGGACCCTCTACTCAGGTGAACAAAGGTAGGGC